TCCTTGGAGAAGGACATCATGCTTGGGAGGGTGGAGGGACAGCACAGGAGGGGAAGGCCCTCTATGAGGTGGATTGATTCGGTGACTGGGGTAATCAGGGTGGGTGTGTCAGAGGCAGTGCAATTGGCACAGGACAGAGCAGAGTTTAGGGCTGTTGTGCATAGGGTCACTATGAGTTGCAAAGACTCGACGCCACATAACAACAACAACAATTTCATTTTTGGAGAAAAGGTGAGATTTTAACCTTAAAAATAGCTTGAAAAAACTATATCCGAGGACCAATTTACCCAGAGATACTTTTTTTAATAAAAAAAGAACAAGTTAAAAGAAAAAAAAAAAAAAGAACAAGTTAGACCTGTGAGGGAAAAGCCTCTGAGAGAAAAAAAGGAGATGAATGAGAACGTCATCAACCAGGCTAAATGCCAACTGAGGAATGACTTATTAAAAAAAAATCTGAAAAACGGAAGGACTTTGCATGTGGTTTCTTCTCACTGTTTCTTCTCTAAAGTCTTTTATATCAACTGATGTTTTCTGTAAGAATTTATCAATTTTCAAAAGCAAAAAAAGAAAATACCTGGACCTCAAAGTCCATGCCAACATGGAACAAATCACCCATGGCCCAAATGTGGAGATATGATACATGAAACTAAACAGATGGTGCTGGAAGGAAGTTGGCACAAGAGCCTAAGCATGTGACTCCATTTCCACAGACAATAAGAGTGTAGCTTTTTCGGGTTTGGGGCCAGTTCTGCCAATGGGGAAATGCTGAGGAAAAAATGGTGAAATGTCAACTTGGTATAATACACAGAATTATTTCCTTGGAAAATGCCCAACTAACAGGAACATGGACGCAATTAAGTAATGCTGAAGTGCTCTTGATCAGGCAGTACACGGTACAAAGCTTGGGCTCAAGAACCACAAAGACCCAACTTCAGATTGCAGTTATGCCACATAAGTACAAACTTCCTGAATATCAGGTTCCTCGTCTACAAAATGAGGTGATGAGTAATCCATCACAGGGTATTATGAAGAGGTGCCTTACTAAGCAGTCAATAAATATTCCATCTCTTCTAGGTCTACTATTGGTCAAACTGGACCATCCTGCTAAGAAGTGTTTTCAGAGAACATTTTATCTCTGTTTTTGACAAATTAAAATATTTTACAACTTTCTGCTTTTGCAAGGTTCTTTTCCTTCTGAGCTCTAACACAGAAGACTTGTTTCTGCTAGTTGAAACCAGCAATTTTTAGGGTATCTGCTGTCCTAGAACATTCATGAAAGTGGCTTGTGAGAAATCATTCTAACAAAGAATTGCAAAATTGTATCCTTATATTCAAAATATCCAAGCATACAGTTAACAAGTTCATTTTAACTCATAGTAAACTGACCAGTGGGTTTCCAGCGCTGTAAACCTTTATGGGAAGAGACTGCTCATCTTTCTTCCAAAAAGAAGCTGGTGGATTAGAACCACTCACCCTTCAGTTAGCAGCCCAATGCACAATCAATCCACTATGCAACCACTGCATCTTGTCCTTACCTTAGCAGTGAGGAAAACATTAAAGTGTTCATTGAAGGAGAGAACAGGATGATCTGTGATTCTTTTCAGGAATTTATCCAAAGCTTTTCTTCTGGTTTCTACAAACTCTTCTGAAAAACGATCCACAACACCTTTCACTACAAACTTCTCAGGCAGTGGCTATGAAGGCAGAAAGAAAAATGTTAAGAGTAATTCATGAGATGGTACAAGGCAGAGCCATAAGGCTAGCAAATAATTCCCATTACCCATCTGTCCAAGAGTGGTATTTCTTAATTGGTCAGACCTTTACATAGTCATCAATGTAGAGAAGTCTGATAGAGGGAATAAATCATAATCACTCTTGTCAATTTCATAACACAGAGAATAAAACTTTATGGCATAGCCCCTGGAACACAGATAACAGCCAATATTTATCCAGTAAATCAAATAGTACTGTTATCTGTATAGTAATTAAAGTAAAGTCAGGGCACAAAACTGGAAGGGGAGACAGAGTTTAGGAAAAAGAAGGAAAGAAGATAACATCAGCTGCATAAAGATTTATTTAGACATCTTGAGATTCTACACTCAGTCAAGGTGTAACCCAATAAATGGGGAAAAGAAGAATATTAGAAACTCTGTGTTTCCAAAAACTGTCTTTTCGGAGTCATTTATTTATATTTATTTACATTTATACCCAAACGTTCTTAACAATATAATTTCCTTAACTTTCTTTATTCAAATAAATTTCTCTATACTATTTGCTTTATGCCAGTATTGCTGGTGGTTTGTAAACGCTGCTGAATTTTAGTTTAAAATAGTCTATTTCTGTAGTAGCTTACCAAATACTTGACTATAAGAACTTCCTTATCATACCACCACAAAGGAAGTATCTATTATGTGCAGTTTTAAGTGTTTTAATTATGAAATATTCAGAGAGTATATCTTTCTAACTCACAGAGTATAACCAGTGCACTCCACTTGACAAATAGAGCTCCAACCCTAACAAATTCCTGTCTATTGGTTCCTGATCAGACCTCCACTTTACTCCACCCTGTGCAAGGGTATATGATTCTAAAATTTTTATTTCCCATTTTCTGTACAATTACCAGCACCATGATAGATGGAGAAGAAATTGAGGTTGTTAACAATTACAGCTTGCTTGGCTCCACAATCAGCACTCTTAACACCAGCAGTCAGAAAATCAAAAGACGAATTGCACTGAGAAAATCTGCTGAGAGGGACCTCTCCAGAGTACTGAAAAGCAACGATGTCAGTCTAGAAACTAACATGCACCTAATCCAGGCCATGGTCTTTGCAATTACTTGATATGCATCAGAGATCTGGACAATGACTAAGGATGACAGAAGAAGAATCAATGCCTTCAAGTTGCGGTGCTAGAGAAGAGTCTTAAACATGGAATGCCAAGAAAACAAATAGGTCTGCCTTGGAGAGGGTGAAATCAAGTTTCTCCTTGGAAGCTAGGATATTGAAGTCCCATCTTACATACTTTGGACACATGGCCAGGAAAGACTGGTCTTTGGAGAAGGACATCCTGCTTAGAAGGGTGGAGGGACAGCACAAGAGAGGAAGACCACGGATGAGATGGATTGTACAGTAACTGGGGTTAAAATGGAGGTTGGTGTGTTGGAATTAGTGAGACTGGCTCAGAACAGGGCAGGGTTCAGACCCCATAGGGTCACTATGGGTTGCAGGTGACTCGATGGCACACAATAACAACATACTTTATACTTAAGGAGGCTATGGGCAATATGTTGAATGATCCAGAAAGCAACAAAAAAAGATGGAATGGGTACGTAGAATCACTGTACGAAAAAGAATTGGCCAACACAGAAGAATTTCATGAAACAACATATGATTAAGAGGCAATGATGAAAGTTCAAGCTGCTCTGAAGGATTTGACAAAAAACATGCCCCAGAAGTTCATGGAACACAAATTGATATATTTCAGCAAATAGATACAGCCCTAGACATGCTCACCAGGCTGTGCCAAGAAATCTGAAGGACAGCGACCTTGTCAACTGTTTGGCAAGATGAATTGCATTAGGAAATTCTGCTGTCAAGGACCTCTCCAGAATGCTAAAGAGCAACTATGTCAAACTAGAGACTAAGGTGCACCTGGTCCAGGCCACAATCTTTGCAATTACTTGTTATACATCAGGGAGTTGGACAATGACCAAACATGGAAGAAGAAGAAGAAATGTTTTTGAGTTGTGGCACTGGAGAGGAATATTGAATATACCATGGACCACCAAGATAATTAACAGGCATGTCCTGGAGAGGGTGAAGCCAAGCTTCTCCTTGGAGGCAAGGATTTTGAGGCTCTGTCTCATATACTTTGGTCATGTTGCCAGGAGGGACAAATCCTTGGAGAAGGACATTATCCTCGGAAGGGCAGAGAAACAGTGAAGGAGGGAAAGACCCTGGGTGAGATGGAATGAGACAGTAATTGGGGTAATGAGGGTAGGTGTGTCAGAGACAGTGAGATCGACTCGGGACAGAACAAAGTGCAGTTACTGAGCTTAAGGTCACTATGAGTTGTGTAGTCAAGTCAACGACACATAACAACATACCTTATATTATGTAAGCAATGCATCTGCTGAACTTGCTTTTTTAAAAAAACTGATTTTAGTGAAAGTTTACAGAACTTGTAAAAACTACACAACATAGATTACTCTAGAAGACATTGCTGAAGGAAATATCTCAGTCACAAAAGAACAAATACTGTATAAGAGCAGTTATAAAAAGAGAATGGACATGGGGAAGGGGCAAGCAGGGAAAGAATGGACAGATAATGAACAATATCTACGGGAATGAGAAAAGGGAGGCCTACCTTATGGAAAAAATGGTTAGATACTGTACGGCAACTCATTATCTGGAACAAAACATGCATGACAAAGTGAATTAGGGGAGAAGGGAGGGAGGAAAAGGCCTATCAAAGAATGAATGAAAACCTATTCTTTCTGAACTTGCTTCTGAACTTTGTAAAAATAGTATTATACTGGCTTTTCAAGGGAGAAGGCTGGTAATCTCCTCCATGAGATTTACTGCCTCTGAAAACCTGCTGAAAGATCAGCTATGAGCTGTTCCAACTTGATAGCATGTAACAACAAACAGGTCTATCCTGGAGATGGTGAAACGGTGCTACTCCTTGGCAACAAGGATTTTGAAGCTTCATCTCACATACTTTGGTCATGTTGCCAGAAGGACCCAGTCCTTGGAGAAGGGCATCATACAGGAAGGGTGGAGGGACAGCGCAGGAGAGGAAGACCCAGTAACTGGGGTAATGGGGGTAAATGTGCTGGAGACAATGAAATTAGCTCAAGACAAAACAGGGTTCAGAACCATGGTACATATAATTGCCATGAGTTACACACAACTTGACAGCACATAACAACATATAAGTTTTTTTTGTTTTGTTTTGTTTTAACATATAAGTTTTTATCACTCAATGCTCTGTTTCTGGCCTTATCTATACAGGTGAAGATATGCTACAGGTAAATAATTTCATTGCTCCACAGACTTACATTCTGTGACTATATGACAGCTTGCCGATTACATCCTTGATCATGCACAATTGAACTGTTTACAGTTTTGTGCCACTGCCAACTGCTTCTGTAAGCATCCCTGAGGATACAGCCTAGGCATATGCACAAACCTCTTTCAGGAATAAGACCAGACAAGGAAGACCAAGTCAAAGAGTATGTGATGTACTCTGGGGATCTATCAAGAACCATGCCTTCTTCCTTTAATATCACCACTGGCAAATTAAAGTCATGTCTTTTCTAATGTTTAATCTATCCTGCAATTTACATTAAAGGTGATAAGTTAAATTCGATTAATTAATTCCACAACTTCCCAAGACCTATGTTAGTAAAGAGATTTTTAAAAATTATAAACTTTTTAAAAATTTTTTAAATTTTATTATTTTTGTGTGTACTGTCAAATCAGATCTGACTGGTACAGGAGATTGACCCTCCTTCTCCAGCAGAGCATCTGGTGGATTTGAGCCGTGCTCCTTTGGGTCTGCAGTGTAGCTTTCTTGCCACTAGGCTACCAGAGCTCCCTAAAAAACTATAAACTCTTAAGAAGTAGTGGGTATAGCAGACCCCAATGGGAAAAGGCATGATGCAATCTAGATGTACAACACTAAACCATCTCTAAAATTAAGCATTACTTTTTTTGAGTTAATGTTTACAAATCACACTAGCTGTGTCATTCAAATACAATCTTTTTAATAACATCAATTACAACTGATTACTGTTATTCATTTATTACAATGTCTTATCAAATCAAATCTTTATTGTTTGCCTTTCCTTTTAGCCAACTTAAGTATTAATGTTTACTCTCTTTGCCTCCTCTTCTCACCCATATTAACCACTCAAGAATGAATCTGTGTGTAAACCTTTCCTTAAGCTTTAATATTAGTGGTCTTATACCATAATTATCCTTTGGTGACTGATTTATGTTATTCAGCATTGTTTGTTCTAGATTCATCCACGTTGTGCAGTATTTCACAAATCTTTGACTGCTTTTCACTGTTGCATAATACTCACTCACTGTGTGAACGCACCAGAGAATCTTTAGCAATCTGTCCACTGATAAACACTTGGTTTGTTCCCAATGCTTTGCTGTTGTGAGTAATGCTGCAATTATCATAGGTGTGAACATGCCAGTCTTTAATGATGAAGTGTCTAATCACATCCTTTGCCTATTTTGTACCTGTTGGGTTTTTTTATTGTTGAGGTAATAGAGTTTTCTATACATTTTAGTGAATAGTCTTTTGGCAGAAAATTTTTGCAACCCAAAAAAATTAGAAGTTGATAATGCCAGCACCCCCGGAATTGAAGTACATGAGGTGACAGCATTAACCTAAAAAGGCTTCAGGAAAGTCAGCGACAATGTAGTTCTCAAGCGTAAACACTGCCTAGGTTCATCTTCCACCTCTGCTCCTACTACTCTAATGACTTTGGGCTATTTCAATGGTTCATTTTCTTCTTCTAGGAAAAACAAGTAACAATTGTGCCAAACTCTTTCTTCAATTGTTATAATGATTGAGTTATACCATGAAAGTACTTCAAACAATGCCTACTACACAATAAACATGCAATTAGAGTTGTTTTGTTTTGTTTGGTCTTACTGGACTGACAGCAGCTTCAGAG